GTCATGATGCTTCATTGAAATCTCTCCCTTGTCTGCATCTCAGACTCTGAGCAGGCATCCTTGCTCATCTTTTTTTTTTTTTTTTTTTTTTTTTTTTGGTGGTGGGTGGTGGTGGTGGGGGGGGTTTGCTCATCTTTTTATCCCTAGAACAGACCCCAACATATATGGTGCGTGGTTAATAAGTATATGAATGGAGGAATGTTTCAGACATGGTGCTAGTTCTTGGAAATACAAATTTTTTTTTTTAAATAGTTCTTGTTCTCAGGAACTTGCGGTCTAGCGAGGGACCAGGCAGATGAGAAAGTAAGTAAGCAATTGGGAAAGTGACCTGCTGTTGGTGCTGTCCTGGAGGTCTTCCATAGGCGTGGGGGCTTTAATAGCGACTGGATTTTAAAATAACAGCCGGGGGGGGGGGGGGGAGCACAACATATACAGACCCACTGAGAGGGAACACAAATACTCATCCTGAAAACTACAAAGCACTCTAAATGTGCTTTGATAGTGAACACAGATAGTGAACATGTTGGCTTCTAGATAGTGGACATAGAAGAACAGGTTGGGCCCTAACTGGAACGCTTTGAACTTCATGCTAATCAGTACAGACTTTAGGCTAAACATTTGGGGGCGCCAGTGAAGGGCTCTAACCGAGGGAAGGCATGCTTGTTTGAGAAAGATGGAGAAGATTGCCCAGGAATGCCGCCCGCCCGCCCACCGGCCGGCAGCAGCTGCTCTGTGCGTCACCTTCTCCCTCGGGCCTCACAGAGCCTGGTGCCGTCAGCATGCTGTCCATTCAATCCTGGCACCTCTTAAATGGGGGAGGACAAAGAGGGGCTGTATATTAGACGGAGACAGCGGACAAGTAGGAGACCAGTGGAGATTGCTTACAAGGAATTGGCTCACACAGTCAGGGATTGTGGAGGCTGGAATGTCCCGCCCAAGATCTGCATTCCTGAGGCCTGAGAACGGGGCCAGCCTGGGGTGTGGGTTCCAGCCCAGGGTCTGCAGGCGGGAGGGTGCCAGGCTCCCTTAATTAGCCTCTTCTAATCAGGCCCCGGATTGGCTGAGACCTGCCCACAGAGGGAGGGCACTCTGCTTTTCTCTGGTTCAGGTGTCAGTCTCATCCTGAAACACCCTCTCCGACACGCCCACACCACCAGGCCCAGTCCAGCTGGGTCACAAAAGAGGATGGCTCTGGAATTGGCGGGGAGCAGCGGGAGGCAGGGGTCGCGACCCACAGGTTGAGAACCACTGCTCTAGTGGCTGCTCAGCACATTCAGAGCCAGAGCTGAGGGCCTCATCATGACGTAGAAAGCCCTGCACGGCCTCATCTTTTACCCCTCCCCCCCTGCAGTTTTTTTACACTGTGCTCCTTGCTGTTCCCCAAAGCAGAGGTGCTTGCACCTAGAGCACACCCCAGACACCCATAGGGCTGGCTCCCTCACTTTGTTCAAGCCTCTGCTCAGCGATCACCATCTCTGTAAGGCCTTCCCTGACCACTGTGGTCAGACTTTGAACACCTACCCCACGCTCCCCATCCTCTCCTCCACCCGGCTTGATTTCTCTGCATAGCACTCATCAGTTTTCACATAGCATGGCATTTACTACTTACTTTGTATCTGTGATTATCTATTTCTTCCCACACGTATGCAAGCATTTTTTCTGCCTTGTTTACTGCTCTCTCCCCGGCGCCTAAAATGACCCCTGGTCAGTGCCTACTTGTTGACTAATGGATGAGGACACCCTTGATGTTACACGTCTAGGTAAATTGGAAGCCTGGGAGAATAGGGTGGGAGTGCATTTGCCTTGTGTAAATAAGGTCACTATGAAACCAAAATGTGGGGTGGTTTGAATCCAAGTTCGTTGTCTCATAAACTCGAAGGATGAAGTCTCTATTAAAAACAGTTTTTTAGTGGAAGCGACATTTATTGACAGAAATGGTTCCAAAAGCAGGCGAGTGGCCAGAGCTTCCGTCCCATGTTGCAGTCGGGTGTGGTTTGGGGAAGTCTGTTAGACCATGTGCAGAGTCCACATGGCCGGGCTCGGGGAGCATCCTGCCAGCAGCCCGAGCCTAGGGCAGCAGGAAGAGACAGAGGTAGCAGGCTTTTTAATCCAGGGGGTGGATGCAGTCTTGCTAGCTCCTGATTGGTCCTTTCAAAGAATTCTGCCTCAGCAACATCCTTGGGATTGGTTTCTACGCCTTACTGCCATGTGATTGGTTATCTGCAGGCTGGGTGTCTTAGCAACAGTCTATACATTGTAAGCCTTATCCAGCTGGGTTTCCTTAGCAGTTCTGCCTAAGTGGGTTCCTGGTTCTATTTTCTCTGCCCCCCCCGTCCTGATTCCTGCCGTCCTAGCTTCTCTGTCTCCTCAACTACTTGCTCCACTGAATCCTCAGTGACTACATCAGTGATGGCGAACCTTTTGAGCTCGGCGTGTCAGCATTTTGAAAAACCCTAACTTAACTCTGGTGCCGTGTCACATATAGAAATTTTTTGATATTTGCAACCATAGTAAAACAAAGATTTATATTTTTGATATTTATTTTATGTATTTAAATGCCATTTAACAAAGAAAAATCAAAAAAATGAGTTCGCGTGTCACCTCTGACACGCGTGTCATAAGTTCGCCATCACTGGACTAGATGGCCAGGATTCCTTAGCCCCTGGATGACACCTGAGAGGGCTGTGGGCTGGCTCTGAATCTTTGCCGGAAATTGGCCTGCGGGTGCGGAAGAGAGTGTGTCGGGAAAGTATTCTTAGTTTCCCCTTTTCTTTGCCAAGAAAATATGGTGCTTGCTTCAGGGGACCTACACCGTGAGTGAACAGAAAAACAATTGAGTGGGTAATTTGATGAGCGTTAAATTCCTGTTTCACGCTGAATGTTGTGTGTCCTTTACGGGTAAGAAAAAGGTCAATATGTTGTAGGCGGCTGCAGGAATGGCACCAGGTGTCTGACCGGCGGGTCGGAACGAACCTGGGTTCAGCAACCTCGGTACTTGGGTTCCGGCTGGGAAAGAATTCAGAGCAAGACCCCAGCTGTAAGAGAACATTTACTTGGTAAATCACAGCAGTGGAAGAAGTGATTCCTACAAGACATGGGCTCGGGAAACGAGTTACGGAGGCAAAGGAAGGGCCCATGGAGCTTGGGAGTGAGGAAGCTAACAGTAACTGCCCGGGGAGAGTGGTGGGGCGGGGAGGGGGGGCGCACACAGGGTCCTCTGTCCTAAGGGGTTTAACGGTGGAGATTTTAGGGGAGGTCCCAGGGAAAGATCTTAACAGAATATTCAGTAGCCTGATGACCTGTGCCTGCCCCATCGTCCTTGCTCTGCTCATGTCTGTCGAACTGTCTACAGCAAATGAACTTGGCGGTTAACAGAATGGTGATGGGAAAACACATTTTTTCCCCTCCAAGGTGTTTCCTGGGACTCGCTTCCAGACGAGCTGCTCTTAGGCATCTTCTCCTGCCTGTGCCTCCCGGAGCTCCTCCACGTGTCCTGCGTCTGTAAGAGGTGGTACCACCTGGCGTAAGTATTGTCCGCCCCTTTGGCCTATGGGGGCGAGGGGAGAGGAGGGTTATTCACTCATGGGGTCTGTTGAAAGGAACAACCGAGAAGAATATAGTAGCACACAGCAAGCTAAGTACCTCCGTGTTTCTGTGAGTACTTGGTGTCTCATTTCCCCGGGAAAGGGAGGGGTCCCTGGAGGTGAAAACTCCCCCGTTAATGAGACCCTCTGCCCTGGATCCGGTGAGGGGAGATCCAGGTAAGGCACAGCCGCCCCTCACCCTGGAGAGCCGGGCGGCGAGTGCAGGGGCCAGAGGACGTGGGGCCTGGTATTGGGACCGGAGGGAGGTCTCTGTCGCTTTGGGTGGGAAGAATGGCGCCTCCGGGACAGGACAGTTAGGAGGGGAAGCACACACAGATGCCGCGGGCAGTGCCTGGCTCGCAGTGTGCAGCACGTGACAGCCCACGGGGGTTGGGGTTTTGTTGGTTTGGGGGACGACACCTTTCAGGTGTGGACAGTGAGCTGGGCACGGAAAGTTGTGGTGAGCTGGGAAGGCAGCCACAGGCCAGCAGCGGCGAGAAAGGCTGTGTTTATCAGTGTGAACCTTTTTTCTACCTTCACCCCTTCTCATCCCCACCCGCCCCTGGCCAGCCGTCTCTCCTTCCGGCGTCAAGGACTCTCACTGCGACGGCAGGAGCCCCTCCCTCTCCACTCGGGGTGTGCTGGGATAAGACACCTCGTATTTGGTCTCACTCATCGCCCCCCCCCTCTCAGGGACCCCATTTTCATTGTCTTTCTGCCAGCTGACCTCATGCAAAATCTGTTACTCTTCATCTCAGTTGTTGCAAAAGTAATAACGGACATTTATTAAGCACTTGTTATGTGCCCGGCGTGGCAGTCCAGGCTTCTTAGTAACAGGTCAGATAACACATGGACAGTTTCTTTGTGCAGAATTATTCCACAGCCCTCGCCAGTGGTCTGTTTATTTCAGGCAGTGTTAAAAAGTAAAATTTTTGTAGGCTTTTATTATTTTTTTAATATATTTTTATTTCAGAGAGGAAGGGAAAGGGGGAGAGAGAGAAAAAAACATCAACGAAGAGAGAATCATTGACCGGCTGCCTCCTGCACACCCCTCACTGGGGATCAAGGCTGCAATCCGGCAGGCATGTGCCCTTGACCAGAATCGAACCTGGGACCCTTTAGTCTGCAGGCCGATGCTCTATCCACTGAACCAAACTGGCCAGGGCTCTTGTAGGCTTTAAAAATGTGTGCTCATGCGTATGACCTTGTGTTTGCTTTCTTGTTAAATTGCATGAATCTGTGCTTGTTAAAGTTCCCTTATTGTGTTCAGTATTGGTACCTCCTTCTTGCATTAGAAAGACTATCCAAAATCTAATATTTTCCCTTTTCTTTCACATTATTTCACTTGTGTTTGCTTTCTTGTTAAATTGCATGAATCTGTGGTTGTTAAAGCTCCCTTATTGTGTTCAGTATTGGTACCGCCTCCTTGCATTAGAAAGACTATCCAAAATCTAATATTTTTCCCTTTTCTTTCACATTATTTCATATCTATCTCTCTATATATATAAGCCTAAGCGACCAGTCAACCATTCGACCATTTGACTGGTAGCTGTGAGGCGCACTGACCACCAGGGGGCAGACACTCAATGCAGGAGCTGCCCCCTGGTGGTCAGTGCACTCCCACAGCTGGAGCACTGCTCAGCTGACCAACGGGTGCCAGATGTTGGGCTCATGGCTGGCACAAGCCTCTCCCATGGGCACTCCCCCTGCACGCCCCTCCCCCATCCGGACTGGGAACAGGATCAGGACCAGTGGGGCCGGGATGAGCGGGAGCAGCGCAGTGCCCGGCCCGAGCTGGGGCCCCTTGGGGGATGTTGGAGATCTGGTAGCTGTGAGGCGCACTGACCACCAGGGGGCAGACACTCAATGCAGGAGCTGCCCCCTGGTGGTCAGTGCACTCCCACAGCTGGAGCACTGCTCAGCTGACCAACGGGTGCCAGATGTTGGGCTCATGGCTGGCACAAGCCTCTCCCATGGGCACTCCCCCTGCACGCCCCTCCCCCATCCGGACTGGGAACAGGATCAGGACCAGTGGGGCTGGGATGAGCGGGAGCAGCGCAGCACCCGGCCCAAGCTGGGGCCCCTTGGGGGATGTTGGAGAGCCAGTTTCGGCCCAATCCCCGCAGGCCACACCGAGGGACCCCACTGGCGCACAAATCCGTGCACCAGGCCTCTAGTATCCACATATATTTTATGCATGTGTGTGTGCGTGCGTGTATATAAGCTAAAAGGTATTATAAAACAGAGCTAAACTAAAAATTCTTTTTCCTAGTAGACGTCAGAGTCACAATCACATGATAGAGTAGTGCTAACTTTCCTACCTTTAGTGTATTGACAGTGTGGTAACCTGTTTCTGGGTAACAGAAATGGCAAGTGAGGTTATTGTGGCCATTGGAACCTACTCACCTCGTCAATAATCAATTAAGCAATCTGAGCAGTCGTTTTTAAAGTTATCAAATGGAATTGAAGGCTGGAATTCTGTTCTCCGGGTCCAGGTCCTTGCATTGCTCATGACAGCACTGAGCCACCTACATTGGAAGTCTGTAGAAAGAGGAACAGGGAAGCTGATCCATGGTGTGACCAAGTTCAACAGCCTTTAAAATGTCATGGCTAATGTACCGTCAGCTTAAAAACAGAGGTTTCTTCGGAATTGGCTTCAAGGCGATGTATTGGCGGCGTCCTCCTCGTTAGCATCGGTATTGGGAGCCTGCAGGATCCAGTGCCCCCAGCTTACCGATCGAGCCCCCCTCTCTCCCAGGTTCGACGAGTCCCTGTGGCAGACCCTGGACCTCACCGGCAAAAACCTGCACCCGGAGGTGATTGGCCGGCTGCTGTCCCGAGGGGTGGTGGCCTTCTGCTGCCCGCGATCCTTTGTGGACCAACCGTTAGTTGAACATTTCAGGTAAAAAAAAAAAAAATCCCGCGGAAAGACTGTGTCTAAATCTCGAGGTGGAAACCCTCATATCCCCATCTGCTCAGTCCTCCCCTTCCAGCAAGTTCCTGTTCCCAATGCCCTAGAAATGTCCACACAGGAATTCCCTCCACACACCTCAGTATCAGCCTGTCCCCATGGTACTCAGCCCCCTTACTTCCCTCCATGCACCTCAGTATCAGCCTGTCCCACATGATGCTCAGCCCCCTTACTTCCCTCCATGTACCTCAGTATCAGCCTGTCCCCCATTATACTCAGCCCCCTTACTTCCCTCCATGCCCCTCAGTATCAGCCTGTCCCCCATTATACTCCACCCCCTTACTTCCCTCCATGCCCCTCAGTATCAGCCTGTCCCCCATTATACTCCACCCCCTTACTTCCCTCCATGCCCCTCAGTATCAGCCTGTCCCCCATTATACTCCACCCCCTTACTTCCCTCCATGCCCCTCAGTATCAGCCTGTCCCCCATGATGCTCAGCCCCCTTTACAACTTGCTCTCCCGTCATCCTCCCTGTGGGAGTCAATGCCACTGCCCTCCACCCCCTCGTCGCCAGAAGCCGTCATCGACATCACATCCTTGTCACCCACACCCAGCTCGTGCTCACACATTCATTTCTAAGCGGGGCTATATGGGCAGTGACAGCTGGACCTGGAAAAAATCCTCTTGAATCTTAAAATGGAGGAGGAGGGGAATTCGCTGGGAGCAATTTGCCGTATGGCAGAAACTACAGCGAATCCTTAAAATGTGCACGTAGCGTCCAGCTTGGGATGGGGCGCTCAACTGGGGCGTGGGCAGGGCGGTGTGGGCTGGGTGGACCTGAGCCGCCTTGCAGAGCCTCTCTCTCTCTCTGTCTCTGTCTCTCTCTCTCTCTCTCTCTCTCTCTCCTGTGTCCAGCCCTTTCCGCGTGCAGCACATGGACCTGTCCAACTCGGTCTTCGAGGTGTCCACCCTGCAGGGCATCCTGTCCCTGTGCTCCAAGCTGCAGAACCTCAGCCTGGAAGGCCTTCAGCTCTCGGATCCCATTGTCAAGTGAGTGGCAGCGGAGCCTGTCCCCGCGACCATTGGATTTAGATGTGAATTCTGTTTCCTGCGTGTAACTGGGGTGCCCTGCTGTCCACAGCCGCAGGGACTGGGGGAATACCCAGAGCAGGGTTTCGGCTCCTGAGAAAACGTCCCAGGGCTCCCCCAGGCAGCCAAAGTGTGCACGCCGACTGGATGCCAGGCCCCGCGCTGGGCCCTGGGGAGGCCCGGATGAATGCGGGCCAGGCCCCTGCCTCTGCCTGGGAGAGGCAGATAATTACAGTGCAGCGCGTTTGTTCACAGCGAGACCCAATTAGGGGTAGGGAGGGCCGCCTTCGTGCAGGAAGTGACTCGTAAGCTGAGTATTAAAGACGCCTGCACACGATAGGGCGGAGGAAGCAGGTCCAGCTGCCTTGGCTCTCGCGGGAGCACCACCAGGCTCGGTGATCTGAGTGGTGGGAGGTGAGCCTCATCAGGGATCAGACTTTTTTTTTTTCCCCACTCATTTTATTTTATTTTTTTCATCATCTTTTATCCCCCTAAGCAGGTCCAGCTGCCTTGGCTCTCGCGGGAGCACCAGGCTCGGTGATCTGAGTGGTGGGAGGTGAGGCTCATCAGGGATCAGACTTTTTTTCCCCCACTCATTTTATTTTACTTTTTTCATCATCTTTTATCCCCCATAGACCCTCTTCACTCATACGTAGAATCTAATGAACAAACAGAACTAACAAGCAAAATAGAATCAGACTCATAGATAAGAGACCCGGCAGACAGCTCCGGTCGGGAGTGGGTGTTGGGGAGGTGGGGGAGTGAACGAAAAAGAAAAAAGAAAAAAAAGAACGAACTCATGGGCACGGACAGAAGGGATCCGATCTGAAAGGGCCCTGCCGCGCTGCTAGCAGAAGTCTGGATGCCCGTAAACTGTCAAGAGGGGAGTGTGGTGACCGGCGGGCTTCTGAGAATGAAAGGAACTTGGCAGAGTTGAAATTTAGAAAATCAACTTGCTGGCCACCTCAGAGGGTCAGTCAGACATGGAAGAAACGAGACTAGTTTTATATTGACTTCGCTGTGTTCATTCAGGTGAGAATTTATGAAACCTGCTGTAAAAAATAGAATAGTAATAGCGCTAACATTTAGTGAGCGCTTACTACATGCCAGATCCTAAGTTCTTGGTAGGTCTTCTCATTCGGTTCTCACAGCAATCCCATAAAATATGTTCTTAGTGTTCCCTTTTTACAGATGTGGAAACTGAGGCACAGGCTGAACAACTTGTCCAAAGTCACACAGTTTGTAGGTGGCAGAACCGACATTTGAACCTGGCATTGATGATCCCAGACATGAGGCATTTGGGAATGTAGAGGAGAGGGCAAATTTGAGAGATATTTAATTGAAGAGAACCCAGTTACTTTTTAAGTAGGAGTTTGCCTGCGCCTTAATTCCAATTATGGGTGAAATGGAAATGTGTTTATTCTTTCGCTTTTTAAAAAACTTACCTTAAAAGTACAGCGATGAATGTTTCTTGTGTATTTATGTTAAGCCCCTTATTACATTGTATTATTTGATTTCAACAGCCCTACCAAGCAGGTGCTGATACTTCCATTTCACAGATGAGTAAACGAAGGCAGAGAGCATCCTGCTCAGTGTCAGACACATAGTGAGGCGTGAATTTTTTTCTTCACATTTTAATTTTAATAAATTTTTATTTTAGGTTTTTAAATTAAATGTACTGGGGTGACTGGTTAGTCAAGTTGATAGGTTTGAGGTGTACGATTCTAGATACATTGTCTGTGTATTGCACTGGGTGTTCACCGCCCCAGGTCACATCTCTGTGAGACGTGAATTTAAACTCACCGACTCAAGGCCTGTCGGTGCTTAACCGCCTCGCTAGCCTGCTTTCCTCGGAGTGCTTGACGGAATAAGAGCGTCTTATTGATAATCTTCTGGCGTTTTTCTCTTTTCCCAGTAACCTCGCTCAGAACTCAAATTTAGTGCGACTTAACCTTTCTGGGTGTTCTGGCTTCTCCGAATCCGCCCTGAAGACTTTGCTGAGTAGCTGTTCCAGGTAGGCGAGATCTGGGGCTTGATTACAGAGCTGTGGTTTCACACCGGAACAGAATTGGGAAATCCTTTGAGCGATTCCCAACTCCGAGCTCCTGATGGAATGAGGCAATCACCTTTGCCCTCTAAACTCAGGAGCCAGATGCAATGAGTTTGCAGAGCATGCTTGTGAAGTAATCCCTTTTGTTGTTATTATTTGCAAAAGGGAAATGTAGCAGTACGTTTATCACAGTGCGATTGAAAGAAAGCCATTTGCACCTGACTGTACAGTTAGGTTATTTCCCCTTTCCTGTCTGTAGACCTAACTTAACCGCTCCTGGTCTTTTGTATTGTGTTAGTCAGTATATGAATACAGGCTACAGAGATACAGGTATTACTGACAGGACACGGTTCACTGAGTACACAGCACACACCAGGTGTGCTGTGTGTGTCCTTTCTGCAATCCCTGGGTCTCTGCACGTATCTCATCGCGTTGTACCAGTGTTTCCGTAATGACCTGTTGAAAGTAGATGGCCTTTGGATAAGAATGGTATCTGTGAGATGAAATGTAAGCCCCCCATTTTCTCAGGAATGGGGTGTGTGTGTAATGGTTGGACCTTTCCTTTGAATGCCTCATTTGCTCAGAGGCCACGTGAGATGAAGCAGTTTTTTGCAGCATCAGTGTCTCTTTATCAGGAAGCAGCTGTTTAAACATCTCAGGTGATTGTTCAAGTCTGTGTGGCTATTTGCTAATAATCGGGGTGGTTGAGAAAGAAACAGGCTGGAATTTCTACTCCCCGTTCTGGAATGAGGTTTGAGCCCTCAGGAAGGGAGGAGGGTGCTCCCCTTTGCTGCCACAAGGGGGCAGCATTCACTCAGGCCTTGGCTCAGATTCCCTGGCGACTTTCTGGGGCCACCTGGAGCCGGGGAGTGTCGGGGATGGGCCGGGACAGGTTCGGGTGGGCTAAGGCAGCTGCTTAGAGAGGCAGTGGCCCGGGCATGGCCTGGTGAGGAATTGGTGGCTCCATGTGCTCCACTCGCTCCTGGGTGGTGGTCTCACGCCGTCCCTCTTGCCCCCGGTGTGCAGGCTGGATGAGCTGAACCTCTCCTGGTGCTTTGACTTCACTGAGAAGCACGTGCAGGTGGCGGTGGCGCACGTGTCAGAGACGGTCACCCAGCTGAACCTGAGCGGCTACCGCAAGAACCTCCAGCGGTCAGGTGAGAGCCCGCGGCGCTGGGCCGGACCGCGGCGGGCGGACCGCCTGAGCGCCTCCTGAGTGCTGTCCTGCCAGCTTGTCTCCTTCCACCCAGTGCCTGTATTGTTTCCCCCTTGTGCAGAGGAGGGAGCCGCTGGTCGGATGGGTCAGGTAAAGGCAAACAGCTAGCCAGCATCAAGGTTTGAATTCAGAGCCTAGAAGTAGAAACCTTTATACTTTCAAACCTGCTGTTTTACTGCATGTGGAGAGCGGCTACAGTGTTTGGACAGGGTCAAGCCTCGGACTAATGAGAGGGCACAGTCCTCTCATGGCCACGTGCAAGTCCCAGCTTGGAGGGCAGGGCCCTCCCAGCACAATGATAGCCAACAGCTATCGTTGTAAGCTTGATCCTATGGTCCAAACACGTGGCCCCACGTGCCTGAGTGATGTGGGCTTGATAGAGTTCAGGTGCATGTAGTTGAGTAGGATCGAAACCCACGAGAATGCTGTAAACATCTTGACCACGCCCTTACTTTGCCTCGTGGAATCTGCTATAAAATAAAGACACGGCTTGTAGTCGGTGGCACTGTCTCTCCATCAGAGAGGACAGCGTCCCACCCAGACCCAGCTCATTCTCTTGTCTGTCTTTTCTCCATCCTTCACCGCCCCCTCTCAGGGTCACTGAACCAGGCTGAGCTGGCGTGGCACATAAGGTGCCCTGGGGCTGAGTATGCCATGGCAGTGCCGGCTCGCCACAACTGCAAACTTTTTTTATAGTAGAAACAGGGGTGGGGAACCTTTTCTCTGCCAAGGGCCAGTTGGATATTTATAACATCATTCGTGGGTCATACAAAATTATCAGCTTAAAAATTAGCCTGCTGCATTTGGTCAAACATTTAATTAACTCACCTCTAAGGCCTTGGCAGGGCCAGACCAGACCAAATGATTTCAGCCCACGGGCCGGACATTCCCCACCCCTGCTCTAAAATAATACAAAGTCTAGTCATTTATTATCATTATCAAGTATCGTGTACTGTACATAACTGCAGGTGCTTTACTTTTATTCGCAGGTTAGTAGACACAGCAGCACCACAAACTCATGAGCAATGTGTTCTTATTCAGCGTTTACAAGGGCTGGGTCGCCAAGTAATGGGATTTTCAGCTCCGTTTTAACCTATGGGCCCTTCTTTGTACAGGGGTGCGTCTTTGAAACGTGGTGCATGCCTGTACAGAGTGGTGTTTGGTTTGCCTTTTGCTATGTGAGGGGCATTTCCCCCCCCCCCCTTTCTGCTGATACATCGGCTATGGAAGCGGTTCTCAACCTGTGGGTCACAACCCCTTTGGGGGTCCAACGACCCTTTCATAGGGGTCGCCTAAGACCATCGGAAAACACATATATAATTACATATTGTTTTTGTGATTAATCACTATGCTTTATGTTCAATTTGTAACAATGAAATTGGGGGTCACCACAACATGAGGAACTGTATTAAAGGGTCGCGGCATTAGGAAGGTTGAGAACCACTGGGCTATGAGTTGTTGCTAACCACTCGTTTTGCACAGTTCTCTTACTATTTCCAATAGTTTTCAGGTGGTTCGTTTGAATTTTCGGGGTAGAAAACTCTTGTATACCAAGGCGATACTCATGTCTAATAGTTCGCCACTCTGGTCCCATTGATCTGAATGTGCAGCAGTGGCAATGACAGTATCGGTAACAGATGCCCTTGTCTAGTTCCTTAATAGTGACCGTCATTTTTTTTCTTCTAGATTTCTCCACCTTAATTGGAAGATGCCCCAATCTTGTCCACCTAGACTTAAGGTATTTCTTCATGTATTTATTTTAGAAAAAATACGTGAAAAATCATGACTCCTCATTGAGTGAGGAAAGAATCTTAATGTGTTGAGGGAGCTCAGCGTGGACTGTCTGTCCTCCCCCCTGGCACGGCGGGGTGGCTGTGAGTCTCTCCTCTCTGTTTCAGTGACAGCGTCATGCTGAACCACGAGTGCTTCCCCGAGTTCTACCAACTCAACTACCTCCAACACCTGTCGCTCAGTCGGTGCTACGATATAATACCTGAGACTTTACTGTGAGTATGTGGGTGTTTCAAAGCTAGTGGAAGGCAGGGGCCAGAAGAGATGTCGCTGGGTGTTAAATCCGTTGTATGAGTAGCAGATGTTGAAAACATAAACATCGACATTAGTGTACTGCAAACTGGTTAGGGAAGGCCAGCAAAACCGAAAAACCGGGGCAGAATTGTTTTTGCTCAACATACCTGGTAACGGTGCGTTGACTGAGGCCTAGCTGGTTTGGCTCAGTGGATAGAACGTCAACCTGTGGACTGAAGGGTCCCGGGTTTGATTCCAGTCAAGGGCATGTACCTCGGTTGCAGGCTAGATCCCCAGTCCTGGTCCGGGTGCATGTGGGAGGCAACCATTTGATGTGTCTCTTTCACGTTGATGCTTCTCTCTCCCTGTCTCTCCCCCTCCCTTTCGCTCTTTCTAAAAAATAAATAGAAAAATATCCTCAGGTAAGGATTAATCCCCCAAAAATAAGATCCCTTATGAACACCAGGCATGTTTTATTTGGGTAGTACTTTTATTTTTTAAATCGCCCTTCACGTTGAGTTTAGCGAACATATATTAAATATCGTTGTTTACAATGCTTTGTTGAGTGTAGAATAAATACCCTTAGAGGGAAGACTGGGTGAGTGGTCGGCATGGGCGGTCTGAAGGGGAGCTGAACGGTTTGGGTTCCATGAACACCAGGGAAGCACCGAAGGCCTTGGCACGGGGGAGTGACATAATCAGAGCTAGGCTTTCGGAAGTTGCCTTGGACGCTGGCAGATAGACTAGGCTGGAAGGAAGGAAAACCAGAGACAAGGTAAGCTGGCCGTTACTATAAGGAAAGTTTGTCTTAAGTAACTGCTGGTAATATGAGTGTAAAAGATGCTTCTCCCCCCAGGTCACTGATGTGCTCATTGATTTGCAGGGGGGTTTTGTTGAAATTCCAAATCAAACATTCCCTCTCTGAGACTTTGTACTGTGTCCCAATCCGGAGCAAATACAGATCAGAGAGATGGATTTCTCAGCACACAGGCCTGGGTTAAAGAGAAAGAATCATTACCAAAAAGTATTGACTTTGGCCCTAGCAGGTTTGGTTCAGTGGATAGAGCATAGGCCCATGGACTGGAGGGTCCTGGGTTCGATTCTGGTTAAGGGCAGGTACCTCAGTTGCAGGTTCCCGGGCCCTGGTTGGGGTACTAACAGGAGGCAACCAATCGATGTGTCTCTCTCACATTGATGTTTCTCTCTGTCTCCCCCTCTCCTTTCCACTCTCTCTAAAATCAGTGGAAAAATATCCTCGGGTGGTGGTTAAAAAAAACACAAAGTATTGACTTTGGGTAAACGAGCTCCCTTTTTTTCTGAGCCAGAATGTCACTGTTGACGGAGTTTATTTCACCTCCTGGGAAACACCGAAGAGGATTAGCTGATGTGACATGTGTGATATGCAGAGGGAAGATGGCCATGGCCCCCTCTAAGGGCATGGTTCCCCCTTCTCCACCGTACCCGACTACCTACCCCTGTCTGAAGTATCTGGGTGCAGGCACTTAGGTCCCATCACATATAATGGGCTTGTGGACTGTTAACCAGTATTGAGAAGTTGTCCAACCAGCTGACATCTTTTGAGATGGGGAACCTGAGGTCAAGTCCATGTCCTTCAAGTGTAACCTCCCGGTGATTTCCAGCTGGTGCCACAGTAAACATGTACTCTTACCATCACCAGCTTGCTGGCTTGTCCTCACCACACAGCAGCACCCTCCAGGATAAATCAAGAATGGAGACAGGAAGCAAATAACGGTTGGATTTTAAATAAACTGATGTGGACTGTGTTGCTGGTTGGAAATTCAGCACAGCGCACTGGCCTGTTCCCCAGGCGGTGGCCTGTGCTTTGCCGTTGGGTTCATCTTTGCTATTTTCTTAAACTGTGGGCCGCAGAGTACATTTTCAGTTTGCATTTTATAGGGTCTGATCCGAGTTGTTGAAAGTGGGTCATGTCACTCTAGTGGGACAGTTTCCATAGATACTGAAAGTCTCTCTCTCTCTCTCTTCCTTTCCAGTGAACTTGGAGAAATTCCCACACTGAAAACACTACAGGTTTTTGGAATCGTGCCAGACGGTACCCTTCAGCTGTTAAGGGAAGCCCTGCCTCACCTCCAGATTAACGGTTCCCACTTCACCACCATCGCCAGGCCGACCGTGGGCCTCAAACTCCACCCGGAGATCTGGGGCATCCGCTGCCGACTGACACTGCAAAAGCCCAGCTGTCTGTGAAGTGTGCTTTGCAAGGTGCTGTCTCCTTTTTTTCTTTGGGTCAGGGAAACGGGCAGGAAGCCCGACCGCTAGAGTGCTCGGCTGTGTGAATTCTCGGTTTTCCCTTTGCCTTCGTCCTGCAAGTATATTAGAGAAGCATTTGAGAGAAAACTAGGAAGTGTTGCTCTTTTAAAATGACAGGAAAAGCTGTCACTGCTCTGCTCCTAAGAGCCTAGTCGTGGGCCTTCTGCAATTTCAGGAGCACGAGCCTGTGATTTCAAGATCCACTGAGAGCAAAATTTGAGCCACCTCTCCCAAGTGCCCTTATTATTAAATCTATTTAGAGACAAGCTTAAAAATCACCAGCAAGCAAATACTTTTCTTGATCTATATGCTAACTTAACTTTCTTCTATTTAAATATTCAGTGTTGCTTTGTTAGACATAGTTGGGAAAAATGATAAGCTATTCATATTGTAGGATGGTCGGTTTGAGGCAGTCATTCTGGGGATAGAAAAAGGAAAATGCCCATTTCAACTCTGCCTTTACATTGGCAGTTAGGTTCATGGAAACAAGTAGTCCTGGGTCATTCACCTTACAGTCTACACTTAAAAGAATAGCCAAGCGGATATAGAATGTGGAGGCTCTGGAGGCGGTTTCTGTGACAGGTCCATCTGAAGTATGCGCTGATGCGCGTTGATGGGGCACCCTTTATGTACTGTACTCCCAGAACACTGAGGTAGCTGAGGAGATGTGATTGTGGTCTTCTAACTTTATTAACTTTATGAGCAAATGATGTTAAGTGGGTTCTTTAGCTTTGAAAATGCCTCACCTTGTTTTCGGAAGGTGCTAGTAAACGTCTCTCTTCTTGAAATGTGGGATGGGGTGCTGAACTGAAGTTGCCTGGGCTTGCCTGTATTGCTGAGGTTCTTGAAGTTATTTTTATATTACTCTAGAATCACGTCTTTTAAATTGCTTTTTTTTTTGTCTTCCACAATCCCTGTTTTTACCTACCCACCCATTTTATAAGGTTACTGGACCTAACGTTCCCTAAGAACTGCATGCTCCTCTCAATCAGAAATACCAGAAGCAGGTGTAGGTCCCATGGTTTCAGAGCAGTAAGCACAGCTCGCACCTGCAGAAAAGCTCACTCAGGTGTTGAGCCTTTGATAGCATCAGTGGTATTTTTCAATGGCACACAGAAGCAAATGGACTCAATACTTTAGAAAACACACTAATTTCTTATTTAAATTGATGACCTCCCCATATGTTCAAAATGGAACAGAAAAGCCAAAACCCGTCATTTCTAATAACATTGTTGTTGGTTTTTAAATCACATTTTTCAAATGTTAGAAACGATGGTATGAAGTGTCCTTATCTGTCTAGAGACCTAAGGAAGAACATTTTAAAGTAGTTATACCAGAAATGATTATGTTTCAATCTTGTAGTAGCTCAAACGTGCTAAATACTACTTGAGATTATTGTTTACAGATTAGTGACAAGGGCTGGGGACAGGACCCGGCTGGATTCTGACTTCCGGGTGCCCTCACACACATAGTACTTCCAAACTCAAGTCCAGTCAAAAGCTATTTTCCTAACACGTCAGAGTAATCTGTATTTTTGTATGTGATTTCTACTTTTATAAACTTGTTTTAAATAAAACACATTTTTATAAAAATGAGTACTTCTGCTAAGTTGTGGTCCTTTTTTCCCCTCCTTTAAGCACGGTAGCTAAAATTGTTTAAAGTGCTTTAAAAAGAAATAGCACTTACAAACTTCTAAAATGCAGGTGATTGATGGGATAGTGCAGTACTATCCAGAAAAGTCAGCTACTAGCATTTTCATGTTCACATCTGCCTCTGGCCCTGGACTCCTCTTCGATCCCCCAGCCACAGTTGCAGAGATATGAGGGACACTCCGGCTAAGTGTAAAGTTCTTATTTCTGGATAAAGTGACAACACTGTGTCTCTTCTATCTGGTGAGCTCAGTTGCAATCCAACATTTACTGAAGATCTACAGTGAAGAGGATATTGTGTTTGAACAGCAGCATGGGGGAGGGTACTGACCATATAAGGAAAGGTACCAGTTTTGGGGGCTGGGGAAACTGGAACCCCTTTCCACTGGATACCCTAACCCTGAACAAGCAAAAAAGCAACCTCCTCTTCTCTTACCACTGCTCTCCCATGACTTGCTTTACTGGGGCCATAAATATCAGTGTATATGGGGCATCAAAAATACTAAGTCAGCATTATCTGAAGAATCTCTACACCAGCGGTTCTCAACCTGTGGGTCGAGACCCCTTTGGGGGTCGAACGACCCTTTCACAGGGGTCGCCTAAGACCATCAGAAAACACATATATAATTACATATTGTTTTTGTGATTAATCACTATGCTTTATGTTCAGTTTGTAACAATGAAATTGGGGGTCACCACAACATGAGGAACTGTATTAAAGGGTCCCGGCATTAGGAAGGTTGAGAACCACTGTTCTACACTAAGGGTAAGCACTTCATGGTTCTGTGCAGAGATTAGCAGTGAAGGAAGTCAACAAGGCCAAGAGTAATGCACACCAGTGGGGGGAAAGACTTCTGAAACATAACATTTGGGAAAGCCAGGTTTTCAAATAATGACCCCAAGAGAATTAAGGAAGTAAATGAAATAAAAAGGAAGAGATAGCAATAGTTTAATTTTATTCACATCTTGTTGCCATTAAAGGTTAATTCAAAAAACATTTTTGCTATTCTAACATCCTTTGCCTCTCATCATCTCTTACAAATAAATCCCCACCACAGAGCAGAAATATTAGGAGTTATATTGCAAATGGAGCACATTAAGCAATTTTTAAACCTTTGAAATATGGCTCACGAACAATTTTACACAGCAGGTTACCTATTAATATGTTACATATTAACAGATCTATGGTACCACATGGACAGATTTCCTTGATATTAAAGATGGAGTTGGCATTTTTGTCAAGGCATTTTAAACTTATTAAGGGAGTTTCTATACTGTAGAATTTCACTTTATAAAGTAGATTTTAATATATCACTTGTAAATCAAACCAGAAACTAGACCAGCTCTGGGAAAACACTAATATTTACTGAATGCATCATGTTAACTGTTTGCTAGTGAGTATACAGATACTCTTAATTAGGAAAAGAAAAACATTCTTGTTCTGGATATACATCAAAGCCTAGATTACTTTTGTGTAGTAACATTTATATTAAAAGTTTGACAAGAACATGTTAAATGTTGGCAAAACCAAGAGCACTCAATTGGATTGTGCATCCTCACTTTTACAGAATTTACTTCTGAGCTCACTGGACTCACGTTCTATCAGGATAGTCCATTCCAGTCATCAATGAATACCCAGCAACTGAACCAGTACATGGGACAGAATGGGTATTCAATAAATATTTCAATGATTGAATAAATGGCATGAGACTACCAAAGATTTCAAGATGCAGCAATAGGTGCTTTTTGTGAAAAGTCTAGGGTTACATATAAGTAGGTCAAGAATTAGAAAAAAATTAATTCTCATGGGGGGACAAAAGGCCATAACATTTTATCCTCCAAAGCTAATGTGAAAACTTGGAATATGAGCTAGGTGAAAACTACCATGGTATTAAAAGTAGATAAAAATAGTTTTGAGAGGTTTGACCAAACTCCTAGCAGAATATGGCAAATCAGTTCATCCTTTTGTCTTTGAATCCATGTTAAGAGATTTTTAAATATGGAAGAAATCTATTATATTCAAGTCATTTTTTAAAAAATTGCCTATCACCTAAAATAGCTATGGGATAATTAATAATTTGTAACAGCATCGTGATTCTGTCCAGTTATATGTACTTCACCCTGCATTGTCAAAATTAACCTGAAAGTCAAATGAAAACTATAAATAATTTTAAAAATGATTGTTTGAACTTCTTAAATCAATAGTCATAATAATATTGTGTTCTGAAATTAGAAAATTCTTAGCACATAGAAAAACACATTTACCTACTTCAATTAGGTCAATGTCAGGATTTATCAAAATTCTCCATCAAAAATTTCTTTAAATCTTGATTTTTAGGTGCTATAAAAAATATATACTTTGAAGGTGTTATACTAATGATAGGTGTTGTTCTGACCAATTCCACAAAGTTAGGAGGAAAGGGAAGAAAACATTTAATCCTTTATTTTGAACCCACCTCTAAATTTAAAAGATACCAAGTACTCTTGAATACCACTCATAAGTAATATAGAAATTTCACTGGTATCAGTTCTAAAGTTTAGTCCATCCACTTTCTTACAGAGTGAACATCTTTTCCCTCAGAACCCCACAGAAGAATAATACAAATCTCACTTTCTTAGTCACCTTTGAGCCCAGGGCCAACCAGTCTCAACAGTAACCCAAAGATGTAGCTTCTGACCGGTGGTCTGTTTCAGCAGTGCAAGTATTTTTCTGGTAATCAAAGTCTCGTCTGAGGAAATCCTTCACTGTTCTAGAAGCACAGTTCGAAGCTCATCTTCTTTATTGATCATCATTGAAGCAATTGCTCCATCATTAAACTCAAAAGAAGTGCCTCCATCCACAACCATACAGGCATCCCAACAACGAGAACGGACACAAACCCTAAGCAGAAAGCAACATCTCATTAAATAATAAGTTTTCTTAACTCGAAATAAGGTTTCTTTAAAACCCATAATTTTATCTGAAGTGGCAGGTGTGGGAGGGAAAAGACATGACTCCTACTCTAAAGGTTTACTGCTACACTGGCAGGTTTTAGTGTTTGTTCTGCTTTTATTCCACAGCACAGGAAAAACGTTGCTTTCCAGTCGGTTTCTTTTAAAATGATAATATAATCTTGTTGTAGTCTAAATACTTGAGAAAAAAAAATCTGCATCACCCAAGTAACTAACTATGCCCCTTCTACTCATTTACATTTTAGTGGTGCTAAAACGGCACATTCAGTTGGAAAGAAAATGTCATTTTAGCCAGGTCAGCAGTTCCCCCACTAGACTTCGTTTGAAATAACTTTTAACACATTTCGTACCTCTCAGGAGTTTTCTCGTGTTTCGCGCGCCATCTGTTAAGGACCGCTCACGAGTGTTCTCGTTTTTCATGCCCATGGAAAAAGGAGTGAATCTAGATACTTATGTATATTTTGTTTGGTCCCTCTTCATAGAGGAAAATGTTTTACGCAGTACCATACGTTAAAAAAGTACTAGGAACTTTAATTGTTTGTTTTTGTAAATAAAAATGTTATAATTATTGAAAAACAACACCTAAAGTGCATTATGATGATTTAAATAACGTGCAGTTTGCCCAAAAACATGCAGTCCCTGGCGTATGTCTTAGAGATTTCTATGCGGTACGCAATGTGTTAACATAAGGGTAATTACAAGGGATGAAAGCCTCACACTCAGACTTTGGTAGCTTGCTTACTTTGAGGTGAAACAACGCTGACGACTGCTTGAGAAAACTCTGTTTGCTATTGGTTCTCGAATACTGAAAAGTATTTTTGGTTCTTCCGGACTATAGAGCAGCGATTCGTTATATTCGTTTGTTACTATGAAGAAAGAAGAAACAAGTATTAGCACATTCAATAACAGATGGTCACTTGAGAAGTGCAAAATGAAAAATGGATGCTATCTCCACCTCAGAAGCAATTCAGTTCCACAGCTCTGTTTAGTATCAAGTACCTTGGAACTCATTACATGTTCCATTAAAAAACAACATCAAACCTCAGAGGGAAGGTAGGGGAGGGTGGGGGTAAGGGGAGACATCAACCAAAGGACTTGTATGCATGCATATAAGCATAACCAATGGACACAGACACCAGGGAGGTGAGGGCATGAAAGGGAGTGGGGTGGGGGGGCAATGGGGGGATAAGGACACATATGTAATACCTTAATCAATAAAGAAAAAATAATAATAGAGTGCATTAGATCTCCAGAACATTAAAAAAACAACTCATAAATGAGGATTAGGTTCCAAGATTAGTCCACAGAACCGTACATCACTCACAGTAAAGGAAATAGTTACATTTTGGGTGGGAAAAAATTCAAAGCTAGTAATTAAACAAAAATAGAGGAACTAGCTGATGGCACTCAAAAATGGAACTTGAGTTGCCATATTTCCCCTGCCAAGTTCTTTTCCAAAAGATCATGTCAAAGAGTTCATAAGTATAAGTTAATAGTCTTGATATAAAATGCAATCTCAAAAATGATAGGCAATATGCTTTCACTTCTGAAAATGCCATTATTCAAGACAGTTTTAGAAATTGCTGGGACCTGCGATCTTTTTAACAAGAGGCGCATCAGAGTTGGCAGGCAATGCACAAACTGGTTCAAGACAACTAACTGTACGACGAAATCAGGCTTGACAGAATGATCAGTTTAGTAGCATATTAAAGACCATCAGATAATCTGTATTTTCCAAAATTTCATCTGAATTTTTGGGTTCTTTTAAAAACCTAATTCATGTTTTTAAAAAGAATTTGCCTCCCTGGGAACACACACATAAAGTACGTGCTGGCTCTGAAGAAAGTAGGTCCAGAGTGTCAAGTGACCGCGGGCCTGGCACTCACTATTGCTTCTAAAGACAGTCAGATCCTCAAAGGAATAATGGTCATTCACAAAGCAGTTTGTTTATTAAGGGAAAAACCAACCACTTGACTGTATACATACCCTTAATTAATTTACATACCTGATATAAATTTCAGTTGATCTATATGCATTATGTTTAAGTTAAATTACATAAGACTCAATTACTATAAATGCCCAATTTTCCTTTCTTTGACATAGATTTAATACTATGCTAGCTCATAAGCCATGATGAAAATAATCTGTTAGATCTCAAACTGAGAGGAAGAAATAGAGTCCAATTTAGAGAAATGAAAGGGAATTCAGAGATTTAGTCCAGTTTTTCAAACTAACTTAAAGACAAACCATCTGCCCAATGAAGGAATTCTTGTGTAGAAATCCAGACATACAAATATATGAACTGACACTTTATCATGTATTGCTAAATCATTTTAAAGGCAACCAACAAGAATGAAGTTACTCTAATAACTCTCAATTCAAGTGTGTGTTTATGGATGGATGACAGTTTTAATCTCATATGCGTTGATATCCACTTTGTGTAACTATTTTACTTGGGGTTTATATGTTAAAAAAAGAAGGTAGATGTAACTATAAATATGTTTGGGCTTTTTGTTGTTTTTTAAAGGAATTTACACCTTCATATCAAAGGATCCTCTTCAATTAAACACACAGTAAGAAAAGCTTTAGTTTGATGTCTACAACATTGATCCTGATAAATGAGTGGACTTTAGTGTGTTAAAATTTCATATGTAAATCAAACGAATGTTATTTTTCAGAATTTAAATATTTTTAAAATAAATTTTTAAAGAACAAAGCTGAAGAGTCCCCAAGCACCAGTGATCTACCTGCCCTCCTTTTACAGCAGAGGGAGTGGAGGAGTGGGAATCACAGTCCTGCCCATCGTTTCAGTCAGGCACTGGTTGGTCTGGGATTGGAACCCAGATCTTTAAATTCCCTGGTCATCCTTTCTTTCAACAGGACTAGTTCTATTAAAGGAACCCTGAGGTAACTGGGCAGGAGCAGGCAGGAGAGGGGCAAGCAGAACATGTTAGTGAAGTGAAGATAAGCATTCATAGCTCAGTGAATTTCCCCTCATTCAGAGGATATGAACGGCACACTGAGTTTAGGTGTGCATTTCCTATTTGCCACATGTGTATTTTTCTGTATTTTCCTACTCCCTAAGGCATATTTGCAGTTATGCTGTTTCTGACATAGACAAAAATCATAATATAAAAGGTTTATATTATAATTTTTGTCGTTTTAAATTTTTATTGTTTAAATATATTTACTAGTAAAGGGATATTAAACATGTTTGAGACAAAAAAGTATTGTGCTTTGCTAAATAGACAAGTACACATCACAATAACATCCTAAAATCAATACAGAACTTAAATGAAACTTAATAATTAAGATCATTTGTCACTGACCTTTCTCTACCAGTTCTCTGTTCAATGGAAGACTTAAACTTCCTTGTCGTTTTGCTATTGAAAAAGGAAAGAGGGAATATATATTGATTAAATACTTTGTACCATGTAATAGCTAACACAGCATAAAACATATGCATTCTATAGTATAATTACAATGTATAATAGCTATTTTGGTACTCACCAATATTTAAAACATCTTCCACAGCCTGAGTTGCAACCCTGTTAATATTGAATGACCTAGAAACAAACACCACATAAATTCTTTGTTTTAATTCTAAGAACATACAAAAAGTGAGAAAGGAATAATCTACTTAATACACAAAGAACTTTTAGAAATTATCAGAAAAACACAACCAAAGACAACAGCCACTTCGCCCAGTTTTAAAAAGTGGGCCAAGTACATGGACAGTTCATAGGCCTGTATGAAAAAAATGCTCATTCTTACTCATATTTAAGGGAATACAATTAAAACAAAGTTTTTCTCAGATGTGCAAAAATTAAAAACTGATAACGTATTGGCATGGATATGGGAAAAGAAGTATAGGAGTTGCCATCAAAGAGCAATTCTGCACTATTTAAATTTAAATAGAATATATTCTTTGATCTAGTAATTTATTGTAAGATATACTTGCATATATAATACACAAGGACACACAAGAATTTTACTGAGACATTGTTTATAATAGCAAACCAACTATATGTAGTAAAACTCAAATATATGTAGCAATAGGAAGCTGGTTAAATAAATTATAGCTATTCAGCAGAGTACTATGTAGATATTAAAGAATTAAATAGAACTAAATGTGTTGGTATGTAGAGATAACCAATATATTAAGTTAAAAAACTGAAAGCATTATATAGTATATATGTTACTTTCCTGTTTTATTTATATTAAAAAAACACACAATTATACATATATTTGGTGATTATGCCTGGAGATTAGTACTAGAAATTTGAAATTAAAGAGAAACTAGCTTTGACCGGTTTGGCTCAGTGGATGGAGCATCGGCCTGTGGACTGAAGGGTACCGGGTTCGATTCCAGTCAAGGGCATGTACCTTGGTTGCAGGCACATCCCCGGTAGGGGGTGTGCAGGAGGCAGCTGATCGATGTTTCTCTCTCATCGATGTTTCTGGCTCTCTGTCCCTCTCCCTTCCTCTCTGTAGAAAATCAATAAAATATATTAAAAAAAAAAAGAAACTAGCTTTTCATTGTATACTCTTTTGTACTATTTAACATATTTTTAACGTGTAAGTATTTAAGTCATAAAATAGTTTCCTTAAAGGTGAGAAATCCTTTGCTAGTATGATACCTAACTTAACCACTTACAAACAGATGTTAACACAAACAAGAATAACTTTTAAAAGTAGCTCTGTCCTGGGGTCTATATAAAGCAAGTTTTTAAAAAAAGTTCTTCTAGAAACTTAGAATTATTCTCTTAGAATTAATACTCTTCTCACACGGTATCAGCAGACAATCCTGAGGAAAAGGAATAACATAAGGAGCCATACAACTCTAACCCAACTCAGTGACTCTTAACTTTTTTGAGGGGGGATAATAAATACATATCCCATTCTAACCCTATCTTCTATACATTTTGAAAAATGTGAAAAGATTTTGAACAATCTTTTATGAAAAATGCATATACACAAATTTTTAAATTAAAAATTTGGGGTCATTCACAAACCAAATCCCTCTGCTATAAAAATCTAAAATCTGGCCCTTGCCTCTTCTTCACTATTACCTGCCCATTTACACATTCTGACACACCAAGCTCATTCTCACCTGTGTGCCTTTGCTCATACCTACTATCTATATCCATGGTCGCCAACTGGTGGTCCAGGAGGTCCAAAGGTTGGCGACCGCTGATCTATATATATAAAAGGCTAAGCGACTGTCCAACCGTCCAGTAGGTATAACGCACACTGACCACCAAGGGAAAGGAGCTCAACACACGAGCTGCCGAGCTTCAGTGACTTGGCAGCGCTGGTTCTCAGGTGACACACCCTGGAACCAGTGGAGGGAGCCCGATTCCGGGGTGTGTCACCTGAGAACTGCCCTCTTGCAATCTGGGACCCCTCAGGGGATGTCGGAGAGCTGGTTTCGGCCCGATCCCCACAGGCCAGGCTGAGGGACCCCGCCTGCCAGAGGGATCCCGCTCACTCCGCAGATGCACTTCGAGCTGCAGCGCTGCCCCAGGTGCAGCCAGTGGGGGAGGGACCACGGGAGGTTGGCTCCAGGGCGTGTCTGGCCCATCTCGCCCAGTCCTGCCCCACTGGCCACCTTCTAATTAATTTCTTTTCAATGTGCAAAAATTCGTGCACTGGGGCACTAGTTTGGTAATAAAGCAAAATAGTTTAAGTGTCCTGACTGTCTTATTGTTTAGTATAAGTTCCCAATACCTATCTCACATCACATGCTATAAGACATAAAACACTTAGGGCACTACCTGGCTCATGGCAAGAACTCAGCACTAAATGAAAATGCCAAATGCAAGGGATATGTATGTTATATTCTAATTCCTGTGAATATCACATTTTTGGAAGATACTGTTTTAGAATTCTATTTTAAATCTAAAAGTCACATAAAAATGACCTATGTTTAGTAGGGTTCCATTGAATTAAATATATATAAAGGACAAAATATTTTAGTAAGTAATATCTCCTTACCATAGTTAAGATTTACCTTAGAAGAACAAAGGGCTAAGAAGACTTGCTGTAATATTCCTAGATTCCTATTATTAGGAATACCACTTTCCTATTAAAACCAACCCAAACTGGAGAGACCAAGATGGCGGCATAGGTAAACACCGGAGACTGCTGCCGCAAACAACCACTTCAAAAATACAACTAAAAGACGGAACGGACATCACCCAGAACCACAGGAAGGCTGGCTGAGGAGAGACTCTTCAACTAGAAGGAAAAATAACAGTACACCGAGGCTCAGAGGAGGCGCAGTGTGGAAAATACTCAGGTGCGGAGGTGCGCGCGCAAAGCGGGCTGGTGGCTGAGGGCGCGGTTGTCGTTTTCAATCAGGAGGGAGTCTCAGACACTGAGCTCCAGATCTGGGCGAA